GCCAATTCACGTTACCTCACGTAGCACGCATGGATTCTGCCAATTCAAGTAACTACTAGTGGATTCTGCCAACTTACGTAGCGAAATATCCGCAGACATAGATCCCTCTCGCCCAGTTTGTGGCTTTCCTTCTATCTATAGATCTGACAGCAATGGCGTGCGAGACCCAGTACACGTCGCGGCTGCCCGACGACGTCGTTCTGGAGATACTTTCCTTCCTGCCGGCCAAGTCGATCGGCCGCTTCCGCAGCCTGTCGCGTTCGTGGCATGCCCATCTCTCCTCGGCGTCCTTCGTCGAGTTCCACCGCCGGCGAGCCAACAATCCATGCCAGCCCAAGCTCTTCTTCAGCCCCACCTTCGACTACGGAGCATCCGATTCTGAAGACGACCACGAGGCATCCGTTTCCAAAGACGACGACGACCAGGCATCCGATTCGAGAGACGGCGAGGAGGCATCCAAGTCCCAAGACGACGGCGAGGCATCCGATTCCGAAGATGAAGAGTGCTACTTCTATTCCTGGCAGCCCGGTGGTGGTTCGGTCAAGAAGCTCATGGAAAACAATTTTTGGAGGCCAGCACCTCTCACCAAGCCTCTTCACGGCCTCGTCCTCGTCCGATCCGTTTGCGTCGGCGGCCACAACATCGGTGGCGGCTACGACGTCTGCAACCCTTCCACCGGCGAGTTCTTGTATCTTCCTGACACCAGGCTGCCATTGAAGACGATCATCCGGTATTCCAACACTCAAGGCCATCCGCCGTGCTACTGGGACGTTGCGTACGGTTTTGGTTACTCCTCCGTAACTCACGAGTATAAAGCGGTGCGTATGTTCAGCTCTGGTTACTTCCCCGCCACCACCTGCTGCGAGGTTCTCGTCCTTGGCGTGCCGACGTGGTGGAGGCCAACGGCCCAACAGCCCCCGGAGTGCGTCGTGGAGGAGCACAACCCAGCCGTGTTCTTGAACGGCTACCTGCATTTTCTCTGCAAAGATGGTGGCATCATCACTTTCAGTGTCAACGACGAGACTTTCGGTTCGTTGTCACCGCCGCCGCCCTACCCAGGCTCTCACCCAGAGGGTAGTCCAGTCACCAGGATGACAGAGCTGGACGGGTGCTTATGCCTCTGCCGTGAACAGACCAATGGTGGAGGCCCCTACCAAGTGTGGTTGCTGAGAGACTATGAGGCACAGCAATGGGAGCAGCTTTGCACCTTTGACCGAAGACTTTGGCCGGAGCCCGAGAGAATGCAGCTGCAAACGAAGTGGATAACTCCGATCACCATCCATAATGGGCGTAGCGGACAGAGAAAGATTATGTTTGGGACTGGTACTTGTAGGGTGTTCACCGTGGACCTCGACGGCGCGCCCGAGGTGTTGCTTATTCCGGACGAAGCCATGTCCGGAAATATCTGTGATAGCGAAGATTACCCGGCAGTAGGCTTGTTCGAAGAGAGCCTCGTTCCCCTGGGTCGTATAATCGAGAACATGGATTTCGGGTCACCGATGACTAAAGCTTGGTCCGACATCCTCAAGTGGCTGCCGTCACGATCGGTGTTGGAGCTAAGCCTCGTCTGCAGGGAGTGGCGCGCCATTGCCGTGAATCTCGGGTTCCGCCAATCCCATGTCATCCATGCGAACTCGATCAAAAGGCATCATCATATTAAGTTCGTCATCGAGCCGTCATTTGGTATTTTCTGGGACATGGATGGCCAAGATAATTTCCCATTTCCGCCAAACTTTACAGCTGGCCTGTTTCAGTGTTCTCAACCTTGCCACGGCCTCAACGTGGGCACCTGGAATGGCTTGGACTTCTTGTGCAATCCTGCCATCCGCTACAACCAGCGCATCGAACATGACGATGGAACCGACGAAAACAACCAAGATAATAATTACTTTGCTGCCCGTATCGCATTGGGATACGACTCTGACATCGACGACCATGTGCTGGTGTCTCTTGCCTATGAGGAGAAGAACATGGACACTCGGCAATACAAACTATGATGCAAAGTGCGATGTGTGTGTGGTGACCAATGGCATGAGATTGAGCCTCCGCCGAGGCCAGTGGCTAACTCATCCCCCGCCTATGCAGATGGCAGGATTTACTGGGTGGTGGAGCGAAAGCTTGGACCGAGCTCCACTGCATCCTGCGAGCTCGTGGCATTTAACACCATAGAAAGGGAGTTCGAGGTCGTGGAAGGGCCAGTGTGCAGCTACGATGGCGGCCGCATATCAGTCGTTGAGCTCCATGGCATAATTCATGTGGCGTGGTCGGATCAAGATGCGGATGCCATTGACGTATGGGTGATGGAGCACAGCGGCGCTTGGCGCGTCGAGTACCGCATAGAGCTCGCCAAGTTCTCACCCGAGTACTCATCCGAGAGAACCATGATCATGGCTATTGACCCTACAGACGGACGGATTTTGCTCAACACAGGAAGATCATTAGGATATTACGATCTCAAGACAGGGGAGCTGGAGACAATCTACCGTGTTATTGCTCAGTCAGCGCGTGATGACGAGAGGTCCATATTCTGTGCGGTTGTCTACCAAGAAAGCCTATTCCGCCCATTTATGAGGTAACAAAGTCTATAATAACAATATATACAAGTGCAGCTTGACAAAAAATTATCCAGTTGGGCGAGCATCTTCTCTGACTCTTGAAAAATTATCCTTATGAGGTAGTTTCTGTTAGGAGGTGTTTGGTTGGATGATTTCTGCCCGTCATCCGATTACAGCGTGATCTGAAAACGTTACGCGCGTTTGGTAACGCAGCCCCGTAATCGGCTCCCCCCGTAAACGAGTCCCGTCACACTTGCGCTCGATACCGCCCACCCCCCACCGTAATCACGTTGCGTTACCGAACCGAGCCCCACTCTTTCTCCTCGCCTTCCCCACGATCCTCTCCGCCTCGTCCAAAGCCGCCCGTCAGGCTGCCCCGATTCTCTCCGCTCCGCTTTATCGAAGCCGCCGGTTAGTGCCACCACTTCCCTCCTTCCAGCCGCCGGAGATGCCTCCATGGCCTGCAGCTAGCTGGAGATCCCTCCATGGCCTGCATCTCGGTGAGGAATCCCATCGACACTGACAGGGACGGGCTTGAGGACGACCCCTTCTTGTCCCTCTTCCTTGGACTCCCCCATGTTCGGCTCCTAAACCGGCCAAATCCCTCTGCGTGATTTGTTTATTGCTATAGTTAATAGTCGTCAAGATCATGTTAGCTCGTTCCTGGCTTCGATTCTGTGAGATTTTTTTGGGGTTTTGCAATCTGATTACACAGCAGATCATGTTAGCTCTGTAACTTGATACCTTTACATGCATGAAACAAACAGAAAAGCAAATGCTCCTATTACGTCGTGATCCCACTGCTACCTGATTCCTTTACCAGTCCCGTTACCTTTGGTTGTACCAAACACATCCTTAGAGTTAAACACGACGTAGTAACATAGTTCAAGTAGCTTTGGAGACCGGGTTTTCTACTACCGGTTGTGTGCACCTTATCCAGGCAGGTCGCTGGTGGCAGGGTTGTGCAGCCTCGAGATCTCAACTTAGCTTTGACAACTGAGAGTGTCTTGTCCTTTTAAAGACGACCTGTACAGTAAGACATGAGGGAGCGATGCCAAAATTTGAATGTCTCGTAGGCCACTGTATACATGATGGTCAGTTCAACGTCATCTGACAAGTCTGAAAGGTAGACCGGCGAAGAACTTTTCAAGCATGGGGATTTGAAGGTCCTGCTCTGTCTACTTGTTTTTTAGTTAAAAAAAGGGCACATGCGGATTGATTTTTGTTGATGCCTTGTGGAGACAGGAAGACATATCATCTACATACAATTTGATTGACAGACTACCTCGTTTACTCATTACTCTTCCAGTTTCTACAGCGAATGTTGAACGTGCATTTTCAGTCCAGCTTTTTTAGTTTGGCCCACCCAGCCTTTTCTTTCAAGCTCCGGCCCATGAGTCAAATTTTGGACCTGAGTACTCATTTTTTGTATGTGGATCTTTCGTTGTCCATGGAAACACCCATTTTCTGTTATCGCTTTACCTTTTCTGCCTTCTTGATGTTGAGACAATGGCAGGCCCGAGGCATTGACAAGTGATATGTTAAGGCATGCCAGTTACCACAGTAACGCTTTTGTGTGACAGACGGCATCGCCTCCCACAGGGCTATGACCCTGCACACCTAAGAAAGCAACAGAGAGGCAGGTCTAACCGAGCCGTGAGGTATATGCAAATGACCTGCACGGTGTTAACATGCAACATGAAACTATGAGCACATTGATGGTCAGGATAAGGTGCGTGGGTGCATCCGAGAGTAGCGGCACCTTTCGGAAAGGCAAGGCCCTTAGCCGCACCAACAACGATCTCATCCTTGTCGATCTTTATCCTTGTCTTCCTTGGGAGGGAGCAATTTATGCCTGAAGGAAATATGATCTTTCAGGTCAGTTTCCTCCTCCACATTGACGAGGAGTTGTAACTTGCATGTACCAAGAAGTTGGTCGGATAATTAATTTTGTAATCCAAAATATCCACTATCCCTCTTTATTAAATATTCAATATCTACATTCACATGATTTTAAAAATATGAAGTGTTGTCCCTTTGGAAGGGAGAATGCCGCTCAGATATCCTTTTGACTTATAGAAAAGAAACTTCAGAGGAAATGAACAGCTCATTGCCAATGGACAAGATGACACTCATACGTGCTCGGATTTCCAAATTAACATTTTTTTATCTTGCTGATCTCAAGAACCACCAAACATACTAATACTTGGAATGATCAATTGACAACAGAAACCAGAAAGCAATGAAGGACTCACTTTTGAAAGGTGCGTCTCAAGGCTCCCATCGCTGATGAACAGATGAACCTGTACACCAGCACCCGGTGTTCGTCCTCGTAGCACTGCCCGACCAATTTTACCGGATTCTTCTGCCTTGGTTGCCCAAGAAAGAAAACCTCAGCCTACAAGAACGGAATCATATAAGCTAGCCATTCACCAGCCAGGCTTCGAAATTGATCTGGCAAACATCTGATCGTGCTGGCGTGTGCATTGCAATTTGCTTTGCACTCACCAGCCTCTCTTTTTGGCTACTGCAGTTAGCATATGCATAATGTATATGTACAGAGCATTATAATGAATATTATGTATGCCATAAATTCCTGAAATTTCATCTCTTAAACAAGCAAAATATGTGTCATCCATTACCTTGTTTGTGGACTCTCTATATCGGCTTGCCCCCACCTAGGCCCTAGTTTCTTTTCTTGTTTTCCTTTGCAACTACCCCTTTGGTTGGGAGTTCCCTAAACAACCAACCAATGTAATTATGTAAAGCAGATAGTATGATTTTATTTTAATGTTATAAGGCAGTGGGAGCTTCTCTCACTGCCATTCAAGGTTAAAAAAAAAGCAAAGATATCTAACTATGTACAGATTTAGGTGTAACTTCATAGATGCTCAATAAGCAGGTAGTCCTGACTCCTGAATTAAACTACGGTGCAAAACATAAAAATGATTCAAATTTATTCATAAGGTAGAAAGAGAAGTGCACATAAGGAACAGTATCGTAATAATACTCATGTGGACGGAAACCATTAGTCCTCGAATCCCTCACCCAACGGGGTCCTCTAAACCAAAAAGAAGCACCAGATGCATCTTTTTTCTCATCTTCATCCCGCAAACTCTGGACATTGTTATAATTTATTTATTTTTTGAAAAGGAGGATATCCCCCGATCTCTGCATCAGAACGACGCATGCGGCCATCTTATTAATAATCCAAACAAAACAAAGTCTGCAATTCAGTACAGCTAGCAAAACATGTCTAGGTTATAAACATTTAAAACAAGTACTTATAAGTCATTTTGATTGGAAACATCAACCGGCGTTGAAGTGAATACAATGGGAGCACAGAAATACAGAACAATATTAGTTCATTTTAACCGGCTTTGGAGTGAATACTGACCAGAATTTAGTACACAAAAGAGTGTAGTTCAAAGAAGAATTAAACAACCACTATCACTGTCAAAATTTATCATATGTGTCATCTTCTCATTTTCAATTTGTAAGCATGGACTGCGTAAACAAATCACTACTGTCCAAATTCAACATTCATTGCATAAGCAAATTAAGGCACGGAGAGCTAGGAGAAGATGTACCCAGTGTCGTGTCCATCTAAACCCTCAACGAAGAGCCACCACGCATACTTGAAGAGCTAAGAAACTTGTTACCAACCGGTGTCGTGTCCGATGGCTCACGTAAGAATCGACACCATGATAAGTACCTGCAAAACGACACATAAACCATACAGTATCAATCAGGAGAAAACCATCCAAAGAAAAATCAAAGAAGGGGAAGATAAAGAAAGCGGACAGCTAAAATCCAGGGAACAAACGCTCAGCAACCAGCCAAAATACACAGAAAAAATTCCAAAGATGTAGCAGAGGCAAGAAGAAGAAACCAAAAGAGCAAAAGGAGATGCAAAGGAGGAAAAATCTAAGACAAAAAAAATAGTGTGATCAGATGCACGGGTGTAGGTGCTCACCTCGACTAAAGCCACACTTTTAAGCCTTGAAGGCTCACAAACCTGTAGAAACCGAGGGACTGGCCGCGTGGACGGACGGGGAGGCTAATCTGGCCGAGAGGAGGAGCCAATGGGAGTGAAGGGAATGAGAATGGGCATACATAGCTGCGACTGGAGGTGCGGCAGCATGCCACCAAATGAAGACCATCAGATCTGATAAAGAACACATCTAGCTAGTGACAAAATCAGCGAAGGAAAGAAGGGATGGACCTTATCCATGGTGATGATATGGGTCTCGAGGGTTGTAGGAAGATGTGGAAACGTCTCAACTCTCCAACAGGGAGAGCCCGCAGGTTATATTGATCGAGCGAGAGGAGTCTCGCGAGAGGTACAAAGGATTCGGTTGGGATTCAACCAACTAGAGATATTACAGAGAGAGAGAGAGAGATAGGGATAGAGAGTTAAACAGAAAAATAATTCTATCTAT